TTGCCCTCCTTGGTATTTGTTTACCCAAAGGAGATGAAAACTTAGGTCCAAACAAAACCCTGCACGTATAGGCTCATAGCAGCTTCCTCCATAAGTGGCAAAACTTGGAAACAACCAAGTTTGTCTGTAGTACAACCAGATGATGGAAGAGTATGCAGCGCTAAAAAAGAAATGAGCCACCAAAAGCCATGAAAAGACAAGTGGAACCTTCCATGCGTATGGCAAAGTGAGGGAAGCCAGTCTGAAAAGGTGACATCCTGCACGATTCCAACTCTAGGACATTCTGGAAAAGTCTGGAGACGGTGTAAAAATGAGTGGTTGCCAAGGGTTAGCTGGGAGATGGGAATGAATGGTAGGGCACAGAGGGCTTTTAGGGGAGTGAAATCACCTTGGGTTTTTTTTTTTTAAGTTTTTTTGATTTATTTATTAATGAGAGACAGAGAGAGAGAGAGAGAGAGAGAGAGAGAGAGATCAGCAGAGAGAGAAGCAGGTTCCATGCAGGGAGCCTGACGTGGGACTCGATCCCAGATCTCCAGGATCAGGCCCTGGGCCTAAGGCGGCGCTAAACTGCTGAGCCACCCGGGCTGCCCACTCTGTTTTGTTTTGTTGTTGTTGTTGTTAAAGATTTTTATCTATTTGAAAGAGAGCCCGTAAGCTGGGGGAGGGGCCAGAGGGAGAGGGAGAAGCAGACTCTCGGCTGAGCAGGGAGCCCGACACAGGGCTCGATCCTAGGATCTGGGGATCATGACCTGAACCGAAGGCAGACGCTTAACCGACTGAGCCACCCGGGCCCCGTGAGGCAGCGAAGCGACTCTGATGCTGCAGTGCTGCCTGCGGTTCTCCAAGGCCGTGGGAGGTACGCCGTCAAGAGTGAGCCCTGATGTGGACCCCGGGCCCTGCGTGATAACGATGTGCCAGTGCTGGCTCATCAGCTGTGCGAGATGTGCCCCTCGGGTGGGAGGTGTGGATGATGGGGAGGCTGGGCCTTCACCAGATGTTGAGGGGGGAGGGAAAATCCACGAAATCGCTGTGCCTTCCTCTCGATTTTGCTGTGAGCCTCGAACTGTTCTTAAAAAAAAAAAAAAGAGGCAAAGTCTTAAAATTACAATATGACAAGGAAAAGGGCAAAATAGGGTGGTTAAAAATGGAATATGGGGCATGTTGTGCCTTACAGTGCACTCAGAGGTGTGGGGAAGAGGTGGCAAGGGCTGGCCTCACCCCTTCTCCTACGGGAGGATGGAAGCTTCTCGTGGTCCAGTGACGAGGATGGAGAGTGGCCGCTACTCCCCACTCAGCCCTAGGGCTGCCCCTGCCCCCCTTCCCTGTCAGGATCGCTACCTTGTCAGCATCAGTTTTTTATTTTATTTTGTTTTTTTAAATTTTATTTATTTATTCATGAGAGAGAGAGAGAGAGGCAGAGACACAGGCAGAGGGAGAAGTAGACTCTCTGCAGGGAGCTGAATGCAGGACTCGATCCCGGGACCCCAGGATCACGACCCGAGCCAAAAGCAGACGCTCAACCGCTGAACCACCTGGGCTGCCCAGCATCAGCTTTTTAAAAGGGCATCCGATCAGGTGTCCCCACTGCTCAAAAACCCCACGTGGCTCCCATCTCGCTTCAGACAGAACCCAAAGCCCTCTCCCTGGCCTACCGGGCCCTCAACATCGGGCTGTGCTCCCCTCCCTCATGTCCTCACTGCCCCAGTCCGCTCTGCCTGCAGGTAGACACCCACTCCGGAGCCCTTGTGAACGCTGCCTCTGCCCAGAACCCCTCGTGGCAGGCTGGACACAGCCCCCGAAGAGTCTGCTCCAAATCCCTCCCTGCCATCTAGGAAAACATTACTGTATATGGTGGCAGGGACTTTGCAGGTGTGATTAAGCTCAGGACCTTGGAATGGGGACGTTATTTTGGATTATCGGGGAGGCCCCATGAAACCATAAAGGTCCATATAGGAGGGAGGCAGGAGAGTTGGAGTCGGAGAAGATGTGCCCCTCGCATCGTTGGCCAGAGTCACAGAGATTCGAAAATATTCCACTGCTGGCTTGGAAGATGGAGGGAATGTGGGACACCCAGGTGCCTCAGCAGCAGAGCGTCTGCCTTCGGCTCAGGGCGTGATCCCGGGGTCCTGGGATCGAGTCCTGCATCGGGCTCCCTGCGAGGAGCCTGCCTCTCCCTCTGCCTGTGTCTCTGCCTCTTTCTCTGTCTCTCGTGAATAAATAAACAAAAATCTTAAAAAAATATATGGAGGGAATGTTAAGAAGCTGGAGAGGCAAGCCAAGGATTCTTGCCCTCGAAACTCCGGAGGGATTCAGTCCATGATTTTAGACCCATTCAAGACCAAAATCAGACCCATTTTGGACTTGGACCTCCCGAACTGTAAAATTGGAAATCTGTGTTGTTTTAAAGCCAAATGACGTTTGCAGTCATTTGCAATAGCGGCCCTAGGAAACCACCCCCCACACCCCCCCGCCCCGCTCCCCACCGGATCTCTACTTGTCTGGCTCGTCCTTGTTGTTCAAGGCTCATCGGCAACGTCATCTCTTGAGAGAAGCTGTCCTTGGCTTCTCTGGCTCAATAAATATTTATTGAAAGAATAATCGAAAACAGAAATGTACATGTGACCCCGATAAAGGTCGAAGCAGGAGCCCACAGGCTAACACCTGTGGGTTCATGTGTTTGGTTTGACTGAGGTTGTGTTTGAAAACTTTTCTGAGCCAATATTTCTAAGTTGAAACAGGTTCACTCAGACATCTCGATTTCCAGAAGCATTTGGAGGATCGAGGCCTGCATCCCCGAGCTCGGCGACACTCAGCTAGAATTTGCAGACGTGGCCCCCTAGCCCTTCCCCTTCCCAGTATAACTGCCGCCAGGCCTTCCCCCTTCATGTGTGGCTTCTGCTTGGCTCACACACGCCTGAGTTAGCAACCCCGGCATCTCAGCAAGGATTCCCCTGAAAGCAAATATATATTTTTAAAGATTTTATTTATTTATTCATGAGAGGCAGAGGGAGAAGCAGGCTCCCTGCAGGAAGCCCGATGCAGGACTTGATCCCAGGACCCCAGGATCACCCCCTGAGCTGAAGACAGACCCTTAACTGCTGAGCCACCCAGGTGACCCCGAAAGCAAATATTTAAATAGAAAGTATCAACACGGAGAGGGGCAGGAGGGTGGGGAGGCTGGGGAGGGCTGCCCCCATCAACAGCGCTTTAGAGAGCTGCTTGCTGCTGTACCCACCGGAAGCTCTGTGCCACCGAGGACCCTCGGAGGGAATGTGGCCTGGAGTCGTATCTTCTGCTCCCATCCCTTTGGGGGAAGGATTATTCCCAGGGCACCGAGCGCCCGGCTGCCAGCCTGGTGCAGCAGGCCCCTGAGGGGAGCAGGGGCCCCTGGTGCATACAGGGACCGTCCATGTCACTGCTGAAGCTACAGGGGACCTCAGGGTGGGCTGGGGGTGACAGGAGGGGTATCTCTTGTCTACCACTGCATGACGGATTGCCAGATGTTAAGTGGCTTAAAACAGCACACATGCATGGTACCCCAGTGTCTGGGGGTCAGGAGTCCAGAGGTGGCGGGACCGGGTCTTCCGCTCAGCGTCTCCCAAGCCCACAAAGTGTCAGGGTCAGGCTGAGTTCTCAGCTGGATGCTTGGCTGAAGAATCTGCTCCGACCTTACTCAGATGGTTGGCAGGGTTCGTTTCCTTGTGGCTGTTGTGACCGAATCCCCAGCTGTCACCTCAGGTCCGAAAGGCCACTTGCAGCTGTGACCGTCAGGGCTGTGCAGACAGGCCTGGGCGTCCGGCCAGGAGGGGCCCAGAGGTCTTCAGTCTCCCACCCCCGGCCTCCCCCCAAGCTCACTGTGTGACCCCAGCCAGGGTGCTTGAACCCTCCGTGCCTTGTGGTTCTCGACTATAAAACGAGATTCATAGGAACCACAGGCTCACGGGTGGCCATGAGGACGTAATGCTCGCGAACGGTGTGAGTCCTGATCCTGCCAGGAAGTCCACAAATATTTGCCACCACTGTCATTATCCTCGGCCTCCTCCCCGTGCAGCTCCCCGCGAACATTCCCGCATTCGGCAGGAATCTTGGCATCTCCAGGCACTGGTGAAGCCTTACGTGTTCTGGCAACTGCGTCAGTAAGTGAGGAGCGAGCTCTGTTCTCTCCCCAGGGGCAGAAGTTCTCTTTTGGAAGTTCCAGATCTGTCCTGCCATTGCTTCACAGTGCAATATCAGGGCAATGAGTTTTACCAGGCATTAATATTTTATTTCCCACTCTTGCACTCTGCTGCGCAGTGTATAGAATTTCTGGGAACGGCCAGGCTTGGTGATTCCCGTGGGCCAGCTGGGCCAGGCCTGGCGCCTTGTCCTGGCACAGGGGTCTGTTTCTCCTTCTCGGGGCCCCGGGGGCTCTCTGCACTGCAAGAGCCAGGAAGGGTGACACGCGTCCAGCTGCCCTGGGCCACCCTGACCCATCCCCTGGCACCATCCTCGGCCTCGGAAGAGATGTGGCTAAGCCCGAGGCCCCAGACACAACTGGGGCAGGGTGGGGCAGGCGAGCAGCCTGGAAAGGCCCCAGTGAAGTGCACATCTGCAGGCTGCGGGCTCCCCGCCCCCCAGCCCACCTTGACCCCAGTCCTTGGGGGAGTGAAATCAGTAAGGTGGCCGCGGTTTCCCAACTCCCAGAGACTCACCCTGCAAATGGCCTCCTTCCATTCCATCCCTCCCTCCCTGGGAGGAACACAAGGCTTGAGCCAGTCTTGAACACAGACTGGAGCCCTGCCCCCTAGTCTCTAGACAGCAGCCTTGCCTCAGTTTCCCTGTCTGTGGGACTGGGATAGCTAATGAGTTAACAGAGCAGGACCTGGAACAGGGTAGACCCGGCCTCAGCTGTGGCCATGGGTCTGTCTGGGTGCCCCCCTCTCCCCCAGAGTGCCCAGGGAAGAACAGGTAAGGGGATGAAGACACAGGAGACCAGGGGTCCTGGGCACCGAGGCCTCGCTTTATTTCACCAGCAGCACCTGGTCACTTCTTTTGCCCTGGGAATGGTGGAAGAACTTGAGCAGCAGCCCCAGCAGCCCCAGGACTATGCCCACCAGCAGCGTCAACTTCAGCCCCTTGAGGACAGGCCCGGCCTTCCCCTTCGAGGCCTCCCTCGCCCCCTGCTGCTGGCCTGCCTCCTCCTCCCTGAGGGCCTCCGGCACGTCAGGAAAGGGCCTGGGGTTGAACCGAGCCATGAGCTCCTGCTGCACGAAGCACTTGTAGATGGCTGGCTGGAAGACCCGCAGCTGCCTGCCGCCGTTGGCGGGTTCCAGAACGGTGTTTAAGTCCTGGTTGGAGAGCTGGCCCTGCCACGTCAGGGGCATGTCGTTGGCTTCCCAGAGGATGGGCCTGCAAAGGAGGACAAGGTGAGCTGCAGCAGCCCCGGGGAGAAAGGAGGTGGAGACGGCGGCCCCCTGCTCCCTAGGGAACAGCGGACGGGGCGCCCCCTCCCAGAGGACCCCAGCAACAGGGGGGATGGTGGGCATGCAGCTCGGAGCCCCACCCCACACTAATGGGCAAGGGGCACACACCTCCAGCTTTTCGAGCCTCCACTTCATCGTCTGAAAACTGGGGGTGTAAGGGTCGTACCCACCTCACTACTTGGGGGCTACTTGGAGGAATCAGCGAGAACACTGCCTGTGTGATAGCCCCCCACCCCCATTTCCCTGCCAGCCTCATTCTCTCCAATCTCCCTGTACCTCACTCTCTCCCAGCCATGCTGGCCTCCAAGGTGGTCCTCCAACCTGCTGGGCTGGGCTCTGTCCTGCCTCAGGGCCTTTGCTCCTGCCATTCCCTCCTCCGGAGTGCACTCCCTCAGCACATGAGGCCCCCTCACCTCCTTTTGGTCTGGCAACTTCTCAGAAGCCTCCCCTGGCCTCTGTATCTAAAATGATTCTCTCCGCCACTCCCATCCCCCTTCCAGCCCTTCCTTACCACCATCTGGGACACCGTATGTTTTATTTTTTTAAATTTTTAAATCATTTTTATTTTTATTTTTTTAAATAATAAATTTATTTTTATTGGTGTTCAATTTGCCAACATACAGAATAACACCCAGTGCTCATCCCGTCAAGTGCCCCCCTCAGTGCCCACCACCCATTCACCCCCACCCCCCGCCCTCCTCCCCTTCCACCACCACTACTTCGTTTCCCAGAGTTAGGAGTCTTTATGTTCTGTCTCCCTTTCTGATATTTCCTACCGATTTCTTCTCCCTTCCCTTTTATTCCCTTCCACTATTTTTTATATTCCCCAAATGAATGAGAACATATAGTGTCTGTCCTCTGATTGACTTATTTCCCTCAGCATAATACCCTCCAGTTCCATCCACGTCGAAGCAAATGGTGGGTATTTGTCGTTTCTAATGGCTGAGGAATATTCCATTGTATACATAGACCACAGCTTCTTTATCCATCATCTTTCGATGGACACCGAGGCTCCTTCCACAGTTTGGCTATTGTGGACATTGCCGCTAGAAACATCGGGGTGCAGGTGTCCCGGCGTTTCATTGCATCTGAATCTTTGGGGTAAATCCCCAACAGTGCAATTGCTGGGTCGTAGGGCAGGTCTATTTTTAATTCTTTGAGGAACCTCCACACAGTTTTCCAGAGTGACTGCACCAGTTCACATTCCCACCAACAGTGTAGAGGGTTCCCCTTTCTCCGCATCCTCTCCAACATTTGTGGTTTCCTGCCTTGTTAATGTTCCCCATTCTCACTGGGGTGAGGTGGGCTCTCATTGTGGTTTTGATTTGTATTTCCCTGATGGCCACCGTATGTTTTATTCATGACATTGTTTTACGGCTCCATGAGGGCAGGAATCTTCCCCAGCTTTGGTCTCCCCTGCACCCCGGGGACCAACATTAGTGCTTGGTTTATAAACAAACACTGAGTGAAAACATGGTACGTGAACAAGCAAATCAGACACATAACACACCTATCACGGCTGAGGAACAGAGGGCCGCTCAGTAGACAACACTGACAAGGCCAATAATCACACAAGCAAAAAAGGACACCGATGAGAGCTCGGAACTTTGGTCAGACACTCTCCGGAGTGTTTTGTAGGCATTTGCATCCTTAGACATCACACAGTGACCCAGCGAGGCCGGGGCCAGCGAGACCTCGGTACTGGGTTGGATTGTGTCCTTGCCACAGGGTGACCTTATCTGGAAATCGGGTTGTTGCAGATGTACCAGGTAAGGTGCGGCCTGAAAGACGTAGCCCCGGGCCCTAAATCCAATATGACCGGTGTCCTTTTAAGAAATGGAGAAGAGACCCAGATACAAACACACAGGGAAAATGCCAAGTGATGCGGATAGATCGGGGTGGGGGGTGGGGGTGGATGTAGCTACAAGCCCAGGAAGGCCAAGGATGGCCCAGGCCAGAAACTAGGATTCTGGGACAGATTCCACTCAGCACCTCAGAGGCCACATGGCCCTCGTGACAATTTGACTTGGACTCCAGAGCAGTAAGAGAATACATTATAATTGTGTTAAGCCCCCCAGGGTGTGGTACTTTGTTATGATGGGCCCAAGGAAAGGGATACAAGGCTCATTCAACAGACAGGGAGACTGAGGCCCAGAGAGATGCCACAGGCCCCAAGTCGCACAGCTGGAGAGTGGCAGTGCTGGGACTGGGGCCCAGGCCCGCCTGAATCCAGAGTCCAGGACATAAAGCTCACATGAAATGCCATTCTACGCAGCTTCTGAGAGACATGGTAGCTCTCAAAGCCTCAGTGACCTCTCTTGAGTTTTTCGTTCTGTTTTCAGTAGCCTCCACAGCCAGCATGGAGCCCAGCCCGGGGCTTGAACTCACAGCCCTGAGATCAAGATGAGCTGAGATGGAGTCAGATGTTTAAGTCACTGAGTCGCCCAGGTGTCCCCCATCTCTTGAGTCTCATCCAGAGGGCCTGTGACTGGCGCTCAGGAATCCCTTGTCTGGCAAATGACATGGGACAAGCGTCCCAGTCCAGATAGCAGGCACCCATGCACTTTCCCGCACTTCTGAATTGTGGGGGTTTTGGAGAGACTAGGTGTTAACTTTTAGACTTACAGGGGGAGGAAGACAGGAGGAAGGGAGACAAAAGAGGAGGAGAGAAGTCACAGCTGGAATAAGGAGAAGAAAACCAGATGGAGGTGGCGAGCCCAGATTTGACGGAGCAGGTGGCTGCAGAGGCCTCAAGCGGTGGCTCGGGCTCCTGCCTTGCAAGGGAGGGGTTGCCACAGGCATGTGGGGAACGAGAGCGAGGGGACCTCATGGGTTTCAAGTCACCACGGCTCCCCCTGGACAAGAACTGCACCCCTCCAAGCTGGACCCCCGTGGAACCCCCAGCCCCTCGGGCCCCGGGAAGGAGGGTTGGAACAGGATGCAGCCTGGGCCGAAGCACAGCACTGTGGGTGGTTGTAGTCCTTACTCCTGGCTAGTGTGGGTGGCTTGGGGAAGACAGGCCAAGGGGAGATTTCCCAAGGCTCCGGGCAGGAAACCAAGAACAGGAGCACAAGCTCTGGGAGGCGGACCCTGATGGGCATCCCCCGGGGGCACCATCCTCGCTCTGACACTTGCTGACCCTGCCAGATGAGAAGCAGCCTCGGGCCCATAGCCTTCCCCCCAGCACAGACTCATCCTCACATGGGCTGCTCCCACGCCAGCCCTGACCACCCTGGGGCTGTCCACAGCACCCACCCATGCTGGCTGGGGGCTTCCTGGGTGGGGGGCAGGGGTCTGATGATTGCTGCATCCACAGCATGGGCCAACCATGGGACCAGGCCCAGAACCAGCTGAGCCCTCCCTAGGTGTCAACGATCCTGTTCCACCTGTGTGACCCAAGAGCGTGTGGGCACCAGGGGATTCTTGCCAAAGGCACGTCTGAAGAGGCCAGCAGAGATAGCCTGCAGGGCTGCTCCCGGGGGAGCCCTGCCCTCTGCACGAATTAGTCATGAGGGCTCCAGATTGGGGCAGCCTGGCGAGGGGCGAGGGGCTGGTGCCCGCCTCCATCACCTGTAGATGGATCCCAGGGGGCAGGTGAGCCACACGGATTCTGACTCCTCGCTGATCTCAAAGTTGTCAAAAGTGATGAAATCCAGCGTTGATGTTTTGCACGGGACATGGCAGGTTTCCACCTGCATCTCAGGTCGCAGGCGGGTGGACCACATGTTCAGATCCCCCAGGTAGAGCCAGCAGGGCACGGGTTTCTGCAGGGGCTCCTCGATGTAGCAGTACCCCAGGCGTTTCCGCTCGCCCGGCTCCCCACAGCGGTTACAGTCCTGCCAGGGCTCCCAGCGGGTGAAGATGAGCTCGTCGCCACCCAGACTCAGAGTGTCATTCTGCAGGGGCTTCTGGCCCAGGCCTTTGTGTGTAATATGCAGGGTGCTGACATCCTGGAAGTCAACCTCGTATTGCACCACCTGGATGCCATTCTCGTCCTGGCAGTGATAGAAGCCTGTCTGGGAGGGCAACGGACTCCTAATGAGAATGCCGGTTCCAGGTATTATTTCTATGTTGGAAACGCTGGAGACTTTGTTGGGCCAGTTGGCCCTGTTGTTCATGAAGAAGAAGTTCCACTGTGCCCCAGAAGAGTTGCAGAGCAAAAAGATGTCATTGTCTGAGAGGAGGGCGGTTTGGCATTGCTTCTCACTGGGACAGCTGAAGGAAGGATAGAACCCCAGCAAGGGGGTGGCGAGGTTGAGCAGCAGGCACAGGGTGGTTAGCATGGCGGACTGGGGCTGTGGCGGTGGGCAGGACACCACCCTGGCCATTGTGAAGTCACCCAAGAGACCCAGATCTCAGCCCTGGGCCGCATGGACTATAGTCCATGCCATGGGTTTGTGAGGTCACAATCCCCATTTGATTTGCGACAATTGAACAACTCTACTTAATTCCTATTCTGAGTCCCCCGCTCTGCTGGGATAGGACGAAACTTAATTTGTCCATTCAAGGTTTTCTCTACCATCCCCGGCTTTGGCATTGAAGTGCCACACGTGGGGCTGCCTGGGGGGCTCCTTCGGTTAAGCGTTTGTCTTCGGCTCAGGTCCTGATCTCAAGGTCCTGGGATCAAGCCCCGCAGTGGGTTTCTCACTCAGCAGGGAATCTCTTTCTCCCTCTGCCTCTCCCCCCCCCCCAGCTCATGCTCTGTTTCTATCTCTCAAATATATAAATAAAATATTTTTTAAAACCCTAAAGTGTCACATGTGAACATTCAACACATTTCCCGCAAACGCCTACTACGTTCTGGGCACGATTCTTAGCGCTGGGCGTGGAAAGATGACGAAAGGTGACTAAACCCTCTCTGGTTACCATTCTGACTTCCTGCCCCTTTATCCCAGCCCCGTGTTCCCAGCCACGCTGGCCTCCCTGCCGTCTCCTGAAAACATCAGGCAAGCAAAGGGCTCCTGCCTCAGGATCTTTGCACACACCCGTCCCAGACTCTTTCCACAGATATCTGCATGATTCAATTCATTTTAAACAGATAAGTATTTTTCTCGGTTGTCTCTTTCCAAAACCCTTTCCTAAGCCCCTTGTCTTGACATTAAAAATGATTACCGTGCAGGCTTGATCTGCCATCATTCACTCATTTCACAAATGTTTACTGCATGCCTACCATGTGCTGGCCCTTATTCTAGTCACAGCCCTGAGTGAGTCAGACAAAGCCCCTTCCCACCCCCACCTTGGACTTACCTTCTAGAAGAAGAGATAGATAATAGGCAATTATATAATACATAGTATCAGACCAAAAAATACATAGTATCAGACACAGTAGATTCTCCTTATTCGGGGCTGTTATGTTCTATAAAGTTGCTGAGTTAGCAAATGTGGAAACATTGTTTCCAGGAGAAATACAGGCTTAAGGTCCTCCAAGCCTCTGGGGGTAATATCTTTGTCAACTGCTCAACACAGAACCTTGCTTTACGGGTATTTTTGTTTAAAGACCTCTTATTTAATATACATTCTTAATTCACTGACATTGAACTTAGGACCAGCAGCACAATTAACTCACGCCTGAGCGAAGCTTCTCGAACACACGTTTTCTCCGCAAGATATGTCATAGGCTGCTTGTGCTTAGGGACGCTGGCCAGCCCATCAGCACTGCTTGGGAGCCATTTGAAACAGCAGAATCACCAGCAAAAATGCAAAAATGCAGCAACAACACAAGAGCGGCACTGAACGGACCATGGACAAAGGATACTTGCTGATAGCGGGAGCCCTAAAACTAGAAGGGGGTCGCATGTTGCTGGACCTCAGCTGGGAATGCGCGTTGTTAGTGACTCAACGTTTCCACCACGCTGGGCCTGTCTGCGGAGGACGATGAAACCCCTGTGGGTACCGACCTGGGGGCTTTGCGTGAATTTCAGCAAGTAGGTGAATTCACAAAAGCATGGGGTCCTCAAACAGGGAGGGTTACCCTATAATCGCTGAGGATGAGAACAGAGCAGGGAAATGGGGATAGGACGAGAAGAGTATGTGGGTGTGAGCTGTTTTAGGGAGTGGGATCGGGCCTGTCTGCGCACTCCCCCAAAGCGGTTTCACCAACATGTGAATAGAGTGAGATAAAGAGCCCTGTGGATATCTGCAGATATTCCCAAGAGATGGCTAGACCCTGACACGGCTGCCATATGTAAAGGGCACAGAGGCCAGAGTGACCAAGAAGTAGTGGACAAGCAGGGGAGTGGGGAGCGGTGAGGTCAGAGGTTCATGCACGCCTTTGCTAGGACATCCTGCCTTCCTCTCCACCCGGCTCCTTATGGCTTGGGGCTCTCTTAGTCGTGTCCCTGCCCCATGCAGGGACGGACCTCTACAGGCTGTGTTTGGCACAAACTGGATGCTCAGACTGGAACTGAGGCATCCAGTTCCAGTCTGATGCTGCTTCTGAGGCATCTTGCCGCCACCTTTGTCCCCCAATGGGCCACACATCCCCTCTGTTCTCACATCTATAAAACTATCTAGAGTTTTTGTCTGCTTCCTAGGATCTTATAAAGTCCCTCTACCTGAGTCACATTAACATCTGCACTTCTGTTGCTTGCCCTCCATCTCCCTCCCTGTCTCTCTGTCTCTCTCCTCAGCCCAGGAATCTCTTTTCTAAACAAGGAAGCAGGGCTAGGAGGACCCTGAGATAGCCCACTTCCAATTTTCACATTGTCTAACTGAGAAGTAATAAACTGCCTGGATCCAGCCTGAATAAATGTTTTCATTGGCCTCCCTAAGGTGTTTTTAGAATATTTAAATCAGTGACCAACATGTAAAATCCAAAGACTTCTTTTTTTTTAAGATTTATTTATTTATTCATCAGAGACATAAAAAGAAGTAGAAACACAGGCAGAGGGAGAAGCAGGCTCCACACCTGATGTGGGACTCGATCCCAGGACCCCGGGATCATGCCCTGAGCCAAAGGCAGATGCTCAACCGCTGAGCCACCCAGGAGTCCCAGTCCAAGAGATTTCATGTGAAAATCCAGATTCCCTGATATTCTTTAAATAACGTGGGTGAGGTTTCTGCTTACTGCTACAATTGAGAAGCTTATATCAGACCAGCACTTTTGCTAATAATTAACAACTATAGACTTTAAGGTAAGTGTGATTAATATGTCCAGGAGATGACAAGATGAGGATTTTGAATCTATACAGAATAATTAAATGAAAATACTAGAATTGAAAAATGAAATATGTGAAATTGAGAATTCACTAGAAAGAGTAGCAAGCTCTTTGACACAACAGAAAAGAGGATTAAGGAAATGAAAGATGGGCCTACAGAAAAACAACCATACTGAAGCATGCAAAAAAAAAAAAAAAGATAGGAAAATACATAAAAGAGTGTAAGAGATATATAAGACATGGTGAAAAGTTCTAACATTTATGTTAATGGAGACTCAGAAGCAAAGGAGAGACAAGAACATAAGCAATATTTTAAGACATTGAATAAAAATTTTCCAAAACTCATGAAAGACACCAAAGCAACAAATTCAAGATGACCTTCAGGGATGCCTGGGTGGCTCAGCGATTGGGCGCCTGCCTTTGGCTCAGGTTGTGATCCACGGATCCGGGATCGAGTTCCGCATCGGGCTCCCTGCGAGGAGCCTGCTTCTCCCTCTGCCTATGTCTCTGCCTCTCCTCTCAATCTGTGTCTCTCATGAATAAATAAATAAATCTTTAAAAAAAAGATGACCTTCAAACACCGTGCAGGATGAATATAAATGAAGCCACACCTAGACACATTATAGGAAAATGCTGCTGAAAACCAAAGAGGATATAATAAAAATGGCCAGAGAAGAAAAAGATAAGTGCTTTCAAAGCGACAATCATAAGACCCTACATTGACTTTTTAAGAACATCATCATCATCATCATCACTATTATTATTATTATTATTATTATTATTATCATTATTAAGTAGGCTCCACACCCAGTGTGGAGCCCAGTATAGAGCTTGAACTCGACCCTGAGATGAAGACCTGAGCTGAGATCATGATCCTACTTTGACTTTTTTTTTTAATTTTTAAAAAGATTTTATTTATTTATTCATGAGAGACACACACAGAGAGGCAGAGAGAGAGAGAGAGGCAGAGACACACGCAGAGGAAGAAGCAGGCTCCATGCAGAGAGCCCAATGTGGGACTCGATCCCCAGTCTCCAGGATCAGGCCCTGGGCTGAAGGCAGCACTAAACTGCTGAGCCACCTGGGCTGCCCCCTACATTGACTTTTAAAAAGAAATGTTGGGGGGCACCTGGTGGCTCAATGAGTTAAGTGTCTGGCTCTAGTTAAGTGTCTGGCTCTTTGATTTCAGCTCAGGTCATGAGCTCAGGGTCATGGGACTGAGTTCCACGCTGGGCTCTGCATTCAGCAGAAAGTCTACTTCTCTCCCTTTCCCTCTGTCCCTCCCTGTGCATGATCTATAAATAAATAAATAAATAAATAAATAAATAAATTAATTAATTAACAAAATCAAAATAAATGATGGAAGGTAGAAGACAATGGAACGACACCTTTAAAGCACTAAAAGAAAATGATTGCCAATCTAGAATTCTATATGGAGACTTCTATAAAACCACAGTGAAAATATCCTTTAAAGGTGGAGGCAAAAAATAAAGATATTTTCAGATGAAACCTGAGATTTACCACAGCAGAGCACACTAAAAGTAATACTGAAGAGAATTCTCCAGGTAGCAGGAAAATGATCCCCAGTAGAAGTAAGGTAATGCAGGAATGAAAACTACCAAAAAGTAAATATGCGGGTAAAATTAAATTAACATTTAGAGTGTTTAAAAATAATGTCTTGTGGGGTTTAAAATATATTTAAGATACAGATATCTGATAACAAGAGTACCACAGATGGAAGGGGAACAAATGGAGCTAAAAAGTTATAAGATCTCTACATTGCCTAGGAAATGGTACAATTTATAAATTTATATTATATTATTATATCATAATGAGTGAGAATTAATTTTGTAAACTCTAGAGAAAACAATAAAAGAATGCATATCTAATAAGCTAATAGAGGACGCTTGGGTGGCTCAGTGGTTGAGCATCTGCCTTTGGCTCAGGGCGTGATCCCAGGTTGCTGGATCGAGTCCCGCATCAGGCTCCCTACATGGAGCCTGCTCCTCCCTCTGCCTGTGTCTCTGCCTCTCTCTGTGTGTCTCTCATGAATGAATAAATAGCATCTTTTTAAAAATAATAATAAGCTAATAGAGGGGGAAATGGAATAATTAAAAAATATTTGGTGAAAAATATACTTGATGAATCCAGTACTATGTTGAATAAAAGTG